AAAGGGTATATTCGCTGGATTTTATTTAACTGAAACATTCCTCAGCGAAAATAGCAAAAAAATGTTGCAAGCAAAAATAAAGTATTTTACAGTAAGTAATTTATTCTGAGCATGCGCAGACGTTTTGTCAATGTTGCCGGGAGAGGCAATTTTTGATAAAATCATGAAAAAGACCCACTTGGGATTTTCAGATCTGGAAAAAAAATTACGTGCATACTCGGAGGGGACATGTTCATCAACCTGCCAAGTTTCACTGATATCTGCTGTAGAATTTCTGAGAAAATGTTGGAGACGGAATTACGGACATAACCTGAATTATTAGTCCCCTTTTCAGGCTGCGCCTGAACGGGGACTAATAACAAACGTTTACGTGAAACTGGTGCCGGGTAGTTGATTGTACAATTGCATTAATGATTGTCTATGAATCCGCTTATGAAAATGTCTCATAAATGCATTGACATTGCAGAATCTATGAAGTGCAGCTCCGAAATATTGTAGTGTGATATTTAAAAAAGTTACGAATTTACTTTTCTTTCACAATGTGCATTCCTTTACTGGCAAGGAAGACCACGTTATTGTTTTTAGAGAGATGTCTTTTGAAACTATGTTTCACTGCAAAAACGGGTCATAACCAAACACTACATTCCCATGTCTTAGGTAGAATGTCAAATGATTGACAGTGGTTACTATATCGAGTGTTAATGTCAATGAAATTACGGTGATGATGATTTCTATGACTAAGTTTGCTGATGCTGTATGAGATTTTTAAAATAAGTCTAACTTAAATGTGGACTTTAGTGGATATAATTGATTGATGCTATTTTTGATATAATCTGTATACACTTCTAGAACAGCTATGTAACTTGTATGAATTGATGATTACTACGTTAAATTATTCCGATTTTCATACAGAACGACTACATACATCATTGTGACTGGTAACTAAGCTAATTATATTATAAATCATACTAACATTTGTGTTGTTGGAACTGTCTGGTATCAGCATGCTCGTATTCTAATGGATACAATCACACACCACTGCATTGACTTGTGACTCAATAACCCTCAATCGCATCGGGACTGGGTTGTTCTCTCTCTAAGACAAGTCACATTGATGATTCACAATATAGATAGAGATAAGCTTCAGAAAACAATCGGCTGGGGGATACGCCTATACCATTCATACGTTTAGTCGGCCATTTCACAGCGTGAACACAAGAGAACGTGATGTGTGAGTATGTCTGTACGTCTACCCTGCAGTTACACATCGATGCTGACAGCTTCCACGAATAGCAAAAAAAAATGGGAATAAATGGCCTCAGCAGATGTCGTATTCACTCATGTTTTTCTTGATATCAAAAGAATCTTCCATGATGTATTAAATAACACCTACATTATCAATCTCAACTGATCATGCTGCTTACAAATTACAATACGGTCTCTGATTAATTCTTCTTTCAGGTAAAAATCAGTTTAAAAATCTGTTAAATGAAATAAGTCATTCACTGTCTCACCTTCGCTTTGTCTTCTGTTATTAAGTTTTGATCGTTTATAGTTTATGTTTTCCTTGCACAATATTCTGGCCTAGGAACTACCTCTTCTTTTTACATGAAAATTCAAAATTATTAAAAAAATCCTCTATATGGTAAATCATTGCAAGTATCACAGACCGCTAGCGGAATGGAAAGGTTCACATCATTTCACCATGCTTCATATGTTATCCATTTATATAAGCACTGTCATGATTATTTGAAACTGGGTAACATATTCAACCATTCAATACCAAATGTATGTGGGTAAACAGTATTAGTGATTTCCGGGATTTCGGAGCGTTGATACTTCAATTTAATGAAGTATGCTTGCTTTACATTACCAAACTGTATTAATTATATAATTTCCATTATTTTGAGCAAGGGTAAGGCCCTGTACCGAGCGAGACATAGTCGCTCCGCCCCATAGACGTCCATGTATTGACACAAATAGATCGTCAGTCCCCTGTGCAATGAACACTGTAAACTTCCGCAAGCAGCTATTTTGCTAGAAGCCATGGATAATGTTTGGATGATTCAAAACCAACCCTCAGACAACTTGTGCAATAACTGAGAAAACACTATTTTTGTGCTCGCACTAGCAGAGTCGACGTCAGTGTATGATGTTCAAATAGAAATTAAGTTTTCATGTCAGTGAGACATGGTAGCGGAATGGACACACAGTGACACAGAATAGAATGATGGTCACTCCAACAAGGTAAAGATCAGCAGTGAGCCAGAAGAAACCTAATATGGTAATGTTTGCAATACAGCGACGTAATGGTAACCCAGGATCGGATAGCAGATATGAACCAGCATGAAAATGTATGCAATACATCGACGTAATGATAACCCAGGATCGGATAGCAGATATGAACCAGCATGAAAATGTATGCAATACATCGACGTAATGATAACCCAGGATCGGATAGCAGATATGAACCAGCATGAAAATGTATGCAATACATCGACGTAATGATAACCCAGGATCGGATAGCAGATATGAACCAGCATGAAAATGTATGCAATTACACCTGTCATTGTGTCATTCTACTATCACAGTTTCTCTGTCTGACCAATAATAACGCAACACGACATTGCCAGAGGAAAGGTTCAGGAACTACTAAATGCCTGTGCTCTGTATAGTTTTCACATTTGTAAGCAGAATGAAAACACCTGTGTTGCTGATCACTCCAAGAATCTTTAGCTGTACATAACGTGTTTAACAAAGTTATGTCAGACCAACTTCAGTAGTGGCAGTGAAGTTTGTACCATTCTGATGCTGTATACTAGATCTATGTAGTAAATCTTCGCTGTAGATGGCTTGTAGGTTTTGATACACGTTTCAATATTACAAGCCCCTGTACATATACATCAGCAAAAATATGAATGAAGGAAATGACTAGTTTCCATATTTATTTAGGATCACATTTTAATTATCATGATTATTAAGAATGCTAATTATATCACCCACATGCAAAGTCTGTGCAATACATAGTGGGATAGACTTGCCTGTTAAGTGGAGCATATCGGATGTATATAACTATATGCAACATGTTTAGGTAAGACTTATGCCTTTGTGTGAAGAATGCTTCTCTACCATTCATGTGATTATTCAATCCACACCAGAAAATACTATGCATTCAAACCAGAATAATGACACAGTGGTGATCCATTGATGAATTCAAGCATGCTAGCTCCTTACAAAAAATTATAACGCGATTTTTTTTACGCGTATCTCGTTATCATGCTATAGCCGGTGGTTAACTTTTCTAACACAAATGAAAAACAAAAATAAAAACTACCCTGCTCGAAATCATAAATCTATCCAAATCAATAGAATAATGTTTTAGACTATTTCCATTAAAAAGTGTTTATTTGTTTGTATGCTTAAACTTTGCCATTTAACAAATAATTAGTACAAGAATCACACGTCAATAACAAGTACAAAATGGTCATTATGTACAGCAGCAATAATTATTTGGATTCATAGTTTTTTTTGTACTATTAAAGTAGGTTCATACATGTTGTAGTCAGTGAATGCATAAAATGTACCATGCGCCTATGCTTGCATTGCAGAGTTGCCAGATCACACTCTGACATAGGTTGCTTTTCAATGTGCCTCAAGACCAACAAATAAAGTGGGCACAAATCTGTATAGCCATAAAACGATATATCGCCCTCTGTATTGTATTAATTATTTAGTACACTACATTGTTTTGTTTATTTTTATTTCGTGATTTTTATTTTGATATGGGCTCGGCATAAAAAAAGCTTTAAAAAAAACTTGATTTAAACAATCTGTGCATGCCAAATTGTTTGATGTGTGTTACTAATATGCTACTGGTATACACATCTGAGGTTATTCCTCCTATATTGGTATTGCTAATATTTTGCCCACACAAGTACTCATACTAAATAAGATGGATTATGACAGTCATGAGACTTGCCAAGATTTCATGTATGCCTTCCTTTTCAGAATCTATCACTATCTACGGTAGTAAGGGCTGCAATGTAGTTGGTGGATAGACATCTTTTAGTGTTTTTTCTGTTCTAGCTTGAGAATATACAGAATAGATTGAAACTGCTGAAACATCACTTTGAATACTATTTTGTTTAGTACTGTTTTCCTGTGTTCTACACATTTCTGAACTAGTAGTGAAATGTTACTGAATTGTAAAATTTCATGACTGATGCCTCATCCTCCTCCACTCATTTTCCAAGACTTGTCTCTCTTTCTTCTTCTGGGTTTTGTCCAGAAACATAATTACGGAACCAAACATTAACCCCAAAACTGTGCTAAACACATAGTGGTAGTCCAACTCCACACATTTGAAATTCTGCTGTATCCATGCTTCAACAACTTGAGGTATGCAAGAGGTGTGAAAAACACAAAGGGCTGATGCATAGTGCGGACCACACTTTTAGGAAAGGGCATCGGGCGGATGGGAAAACAATAGAGTGCAACAGCACTCCCTGGTTTATCTTATTATATCCATATAAAAACTGTATATGTATACAACCATGCCACAAAACTAATGCCTAGCTACAAAACTAGTTTTATCATTACTCATTTAGATTCCAGCAAATGTCAAGCATTAGGAGGTGTTATGAACAGGAAAATACCCATAATCTCAGATCTGAAACGATCAACAATGTTTACATTGACAGCACTTTTATTCAACCAATCATCGGCTGTCTTTGATAAAACTAGCATTGTAGCTAGGCATTGGTAGAGTGGTATATAACAAATCACATTTATTCAGGGCTATGTGTACTATTATTACTATTTAGAACAAAATCAGAACATATCTGAGTCATGTTTGAGTTGGATGTGCACTTCTAGTAGAAGGACTTTAACTATTAACAGAGAGAATAGAAGACAATACTTTGATGCTGGATATCTATGGACACTGCTTTTATACTAAAAAATATTACAATAATTTAGAAGCGACATAAAAACAAAGTTTTTAATATTGTTGCAAACATAGCATTGACTTGTCTACCATACAGTTCTGGATATCAGGGTAAGCAATTTATATATTGAAATGAAATAAACAATCAATGACACAGTTACAAATATCTGTACATTTTCTCAGCGGTATATGCTTGGTGATCAAAATGGACAAGAAGTAAAAAACGAGCAACTATTGATGCAAAATAGATATTAGAATTCAATTATTTCAACCCAGCAGCTTGCCTCCTCTTTACATCCCAGTTGTACACCCGAGCCATGTCTGAAGGAAAAACATTGTGAAGGAAAATCAGTCACTTGTAATAAATATGGATACAAATGTTAGAAATAATTAATTTATTTGAAGCATTGAAAAACATAATACCGAGGGAGTAGTTAATTTACTTTGGCCTATTTAAAGGCACAGCTTCCAAAACTCACTCACATAGATGGCTACTTTAACTGAACAGTTTGTTCAGAGAACAATGTCTGAAGTATGTCAACTCAAAGTTTCATAAACTAAGAGTTATACATCGTCCGAATCGTGTCTTCGACCTATAGTATAGGTCTCTACATGATACCGTGCGGGATCGCATAGGCTAATTGCATATCTTAAGCAGTGAGATCTGATTGGGCGCGCCTCGAAACAAGGCGCCAAATCAGCTTGGACGTACTAAACTATGAAACAAAATTCCACTTCCTGTTTTTGTCGCTATGAAGATATCCTTCCCACACAAAACTGCGTCAAATGCCTGTACCTGATGAGGCTTGAGGGCACCAACACCGAAAACTTTCGCAATTTTATAATCACAAATATCACGATTCATGGACACCGCCATTTTGTTTAAAATGAAACGCCAAAGAGGGATTTGTAACACGCAAACTGATTGGACAATGATTAGCCGCAACTGACTACTGGGGGCGCTGTTAGAATACGCATATTTGATGGTCGTTCTGCCATGGTCTGTTATAGAGGCTTGGTCGAATAAACTTAGACCTTGGCTAGCAAAGATGAGAGTTATAAAACATCTTCAACATCAATACTTTATGAATAATACCATTTGTTTTGGCATTCAAGCAGAGGTTTACACATTAATGAACTATTATAAGACCACCTAGCCATTTTATCAAAGGATACTGACTTCAGTTGTTGTATACTGGTCACGAAGAAAATCTAAATCATCATCAACCTGATAGAGTGTATTATTTGCAGCAGTTAGATTCTTCTCAAGGAGCAGCTGTGCATCGTCAATTTCATACTCTAACATGACATTAGCCTGCAAACAATGAAAGAACAGTAAATAGTGAAGAAGAGAATACCGATAGTTTATAAATAGCAAGTGTTACGTCATACTGTAAACTAATTTTCACTGAATAGGCTTTTTGGGTGTTTTGTATGGAATTTATTTTCATTGATGTTTAACGAGTTGAATGTAAAATATATAGAAACAACAGTATATTCGCTGGATTTTATTTCCCCTGAATCATTCCTTCAGCAAAAATTAATTCCCAGCGAAAATAAAGTATTCTACAGTACTCTAACATGACATTAGCCTGCAAAAGTACAGCAATAAATGGTGAAGAGAAGCATACAAATGGCATCTCAAGTAATTTCATTAATCATTTGTGCAGACATGCAACTTGGACAAACAAATATATAAATTACTTGGATTTGTTTATAACCAACAAGTCAAGCATAACCAATTCTTGCCAACTACCATGAAAACTCAAAAATTTAAATCATGTTAAAATAAGTCTATAATCATTTGCAATGAATGTTATGTTACATTTACTTAGGACGGTACTGTGATGGGAGATGCTTCTTAGAACACAATTTACTACATACATTGTACCGGTAGTTAACTTTAATTTGTTGTTCCAATCAATCAAGTCAATACGCAATCTAAAAAACTCAAAGGAAGTCAAAGGTAATTTAAGTAACTAGGCCGGGGAGCTACAATATGCTAAGTTTAAAAAAAACAAACATTTTTTTTTACTTGAAACAGGAACAAAACAGCAACATTCACATCACAAACTCCTTGTCACTAAAGGGCGTCTATATGAAAGTTTCATTAGAGTAACAAACTGTATAAAAGTCTCCATGCCACAGAAACAGCAATGATGTGAATAGCATTCCATTTGTGTATCACAGTACCGGTAGTCTTCCTCACATTTTGCATTGTACATGTAGGACTATGAGGGCACTATAGAACCAAATAAAGACACATTAAGTAATGAAGCGCCCCCCATAGTCACAACTTGAAAAATCTTTCATTATTTTCCAATTTCTAGGTTACCCCAGGAGGGGGAAAATCTCATGCGAGGTCGCTGTTCAAAAAGACCTCAGTCGGAGCTGGTCATTTCTGAATAGATCTTTGTTCTGATCACTTCCGGTACATGCGCATAGCATGGACCGGCGTTCTGAATGTATGACGACTATGTTGGCTAAATGTGGCTTCAAAAATAACAATATCAATACGCTACAGAGCCAAGGAATTGGGAGAAACCATACATTAAATGTCATTCAAGTTGTATGTGAAAGGGAATTGGAAATTTTCCCCAAACTGTTTGTCACAACGAACATCGTAGAGTTGGATGGTTTTACCGACCATGTATCAACCGGTGTGATTTTACTGAAAAGCGCCTAAAACTATTATAAATCAGCTACAAAACCTTTGCTAAACTACTGTTCTACATAACTAACTCTGAAAATATCTGCAACGTCTACATTATGACGGCAACGATCAAAACAGTAGCACAAGGTGCTGTTTACATTGCCAAATTTAAAGTGGTCTGACACGTCCTACACTGGAAGACCACAATATGGCCTCGGGGAAACAGCTAATTAGGCAACTTTGCCATGGCAAAAACGTATGAAAACGGATTGAGCAATCTAGAGCAATAATACAAATAGTACAGTACAGTGACCATCCACAATATATGAGAAATTTGCTCATTGCAACATCGCCAGAAACGAGAAAAGTGCAGAGTCTCACGATGCCCGCCATAATCGGCGATTATGTTATCAAACACAGACCTGTATATTATTTGCAACATTTATTAAGCATTTTAAATAAAACAGAACAGGTTTTTGGCAGTATTAACAACTTTAAATGCCGAAATTCGTGTGTTGTTTCTAGTTGATGAATTATTTATGTATGTTAATGACAGCGGAAAAGGGCCAATCACGTCATGCGACACACCCCTTGGGTTAACCTAGATTTAACCTCATAGCGATCTGCAGATTCAGTACTGATTGAATAAGATTCCATTGTGTTATTTGAACAAGACATGCAAGTTTGGGCAGAGAAAAGCTGTGTTGATGGCTGTCCGAATCAAAGTGATTGGGGCAGATGGTATATAGTCATCTCTGAGTTAACAAGTCAGAATTTGGGATTGGCAGATAGTATTTTTATGCTGCAGACTGCATTACATAATGTGTGCACCATAGTACTGATTTGACTGCAACAATATTAATCTTGTGTTTCATATCTGTAATTTTGTGTTTTTGTGGATAAGTTTGGTAATGTCATTCTTTTGTTAGCACATTGACCAAAATTTAAAGTTGAAGAAAACTATCTGAAAATGGATGTTGATAGCTGTGGAAACTCTCTACTGCTAAACCAGCAAATGATATGACAAATGTTGCCAGAGATGTTTTTCTTAAGTGATCATGGGGCTGCCATGCCTTGAACACATTTTGTCAAGATTCTGGTTTGTAAAAAGTTTCAATAAAATAAACCACATTTCAACTGTGTTTGTAAACATGTTGTCCAAAGTATTTTAGGCACGGGAAAATTTATCAATAAATAAATTTTAAAAAAAATGCGTATAAAATTGCAGAATATTTCACAAAAAGTTTAGAGGGAAAAAGTCTTCAATAAATACAGGAAGGGTACACAATGGTTTATTATTCTAATTACCCAAGTAAGTAGGGTACTAATGTTTATTACATGGAATAACGCAATATTCCCAGAACAGGAAGACTTAACAATATATATTTATCAATAGAAATAAATAAAACACACACAATATCCTCTATACATGTATTCAGTTTAAAACTGTCAATGACACAATTGTGAGATTAAAATTTCCCATCTAAAAAAATCCAATGACACAATATTTTGTGATTTTCTGTCATATTTCCAAAAACATTTCCCTTTTCAAGTTCAACTTTTAGAATGCTATAATTTTTGTATATAATTTTTCATGTCATGGTTAATATTTTGGAAAATAGTTGACCCTGGCTTTCAAAGGGTTAGGGGTCATAGGTCAAATGCACATATCCCATAATACAAGTACAATGTAGTAATGATGTCGCTATAAAGGTACCTTCCTTCCCCCTCCAGAAATCTTGCATTCTCCATGGTTACAGTATTAAAAGCAGCAGTTTTCGTTGGTGGCAATGGTCTAATAAATTTTAAGGTGGTCAAACAATGGCTTACATCAAGAATAAAAACTATGGTCGCTTTCACTATTGCTATTATAAATTAATAGAAAGAATGTACATGGTAAAAATGATTTATTAACTCATTCATTTATGTTCCACAATGTAGAAAGCATTGTCCATCTTTGCTGCATTATGGAAGCTCCAGACTAGGTGTGACCATTCGAAAGATCAAAATCAAATTTACTGAAACTGACAAGTTTTTTTCAGTGATGTTTTTGTCTTTTTTTGCATTTTCAAATAATTCAATTAGTGAACAACTTAGCTACCTTGCAGAATACTAACTACTGCAAAATAATACTGTAGAATACTTTATTTTCGCTTGGAATTTATTTTTGCTATTTTTGCTGAAGGAATGATTCAGTGAAAATAAAATCCAGTGAATATACCTTTTTTCTTATATTTTACATTCAACTTGACAAAAATCAGTGAAAATTAATTCCATACAAAACGTCTTTTCAGCAAAAATTAATTCCAGCTAAAATAAAGTATTTCAGAGTATATAACATTTACAAAACATTAATGTTTGAAAATAATATTTTATAAAAAGCAGAGATTGTTAAGATATGAATATGCAAGTAATGTAGTATGCAGTCACAAATCAAAATACAAATGTACATGTATATTTCTAAAATTTCTGTGAAAAACTGGTCGGTATTTGTCTCGGATCATTTTTCTAACCATAGTTGTTCACATAGTATGTATTACATGTGTTTGTCATTTTAAAATACGACAATAATCTTGCTTCATTTTCATTTACAATCAAATGTCTCAAAGCATGCACTACGCTCTGTGATGCCATTAATTAGAAACACCAGTGGTTAACGTGCACGTGGAACTCTGAATATTATGTCATCACATATTACGTACATATATATTAAATTTGTATATTCTTATCTCATAAATCATTAAAATTATATATTTATTGCAATTTTACCTATACTCAAATAAAACCTGCAAAGATTTTGGTTTTCTAAATGTATTTTCCCAACCACTTTGATTCAAAAACATATGGATGACGAAATCATAAAGTTCCAAATCTAAATAGTGTGCTTTTTGAATTATTTCTCTGTCTTTCTCACTCACTTTCTGATTAATAATCATTTTCGAATTAGCAGCTCGTAAATCAGATACTAATGCAGCAACGTTTTTATCGCCGCTTTTCCATTTGTATTTGTTTTCAAAATAATTAATCGATTCCGTCAAATGATCCACGAGAAAAATTGCATCAAAGGTTTCAAGATTTCTCTTGGCTGTTTCAATTAAGTCTCTCTCAATATTTTGTTGTCTGTATGTTGAATAATGTGAACACTGTCTTAGTACACCAGCAAGTTGTTTTGTTTGCAAATTATGCGCAGTGTATTTTGCAAAATCTTTATTATCACTGAGGGTGTTCACAAAATCTTTCAACGAAAACTTGTTCTTGTACGGAAACATTTCATACGAGTCAAGGACACGCTGCATTGGATCTTGTACAATTAAGATTAGATCAAAGTCGTTACGAAACCCTAGTAGATGGACATCTAGTAGACTGAAATCGTGCATCATTCGTATACCTTGACAATGGTCTGAAGCAAGTTCATGCTTAATTTGCAGTGGAGTTTGCTGGATGACTGCTGCGGGTCTTTCGCAGACATGATCTAAAAATGGTGGTTTTTTCCATGGCTGGTTATCGCACCATGTGACATTGCTATATGTAGCTGAATTGTACTGGAAGTAATCCATGATGAATTTTGTAACGTGCTTACTTAAATGTGTATGCATCAGAAACAGAGTCAAAACGGTATTCTGTCTATCAATAAGTCGTGCATATCGCTCCTTCATTTCAAG